CACACACACACACACACACACACACACACAGTTATAACGGACATGCGGGTTTCAACATCAACTTTCCACCAATCACATTCCTCCTCTTAAGACGCAACAAGTGTTGCATTGAAGACGCGTTGAAGAGCTGTGATTGGTGGACAGCAGTGAGTGTGCGCATGCGCATGTCGTGTTGTCATTCCGCTGGACTCGCACTGCTTCTGACGGTCAGAGCGCTTATTTCTGTCTTTAATGCACTTTAACATGTTTCTACATTGTCCGAGTCCTAATCAGTTTCTAATGTTAATTACGTTGTCTTGGTAATGAGCATGTTGATGGTGTTTGAAGAACTTCTGATAGCTTTTCTGTTTCGGTGATGTCGCCTTACTCATCAATACGTCAATAAATATATTTGTGTTAAATTAATTGAAACAGAGTGCTTATATTTTACTGTATTGATATTTAGCTTGTATTAATATTGAAATAAAACATAAATAAGTTGATTAAATAATTCCCGTTGTGAACACACAGATGGGGCAAGTTGTCACAGCGGGGTTCTCGCAGAAAGCGGCTCGGGACACTTCAGTCTGTAGACACTGAACTCTCTCTCACTGGTTACACTGTGTACATACAAGCAGCACAGGCATGTGAACCAGGCTCCAGTCAGCCTTCATTCGGTCTGAAAATGTCTTGCTGGTTTGTTTAGACGGTCATAATTTTAAAAACAAAGTTATCCTTTATATAAATACAAGATTTAAGGTCTGTGACCAGAATAAAACAATCTGCACTAAAAGTCATGTATAACATAATGGTAACAAGTCCCCAATGGACCTTAAGACCTAGATTACGTCTTTTACAAAAACCTACTTTTAAAAGTACTTTTTTTTTTTTAGAAATATTTTGTCACCTGAGCAATCAGTAGGTTGTTAAATCCATTGTACAAGCCAGTGAACACTACTTCCGAGGATAGTTCACCTGATCATTCCTTCATCTTTACTCTCCCTCACGTCCTTCCAAACCCAGCAGACTTTCATTCATCTTCAAACACAAATGAAATAGTTTTTAATGAAGCCGAGTGTGAAGCAGATACAGCTGATGTGCTCTATGTTCATTTCTCTTTTACAAATGGTTTAAAGTGTCAAACAGAAGTCTCAGGCTTCATTGAAAATATCTGTGTTTTGAAGATAAACTCAAGTCTTGAAATCCCACGAAGCAGAGCGAATTCACCAATTCTTGGGTGAACAATCCCAAATCAAGCCCTGGATCAAAAACACCAACAGTTCAACATACATTTGAAATAAACTGATCTATAAAGCTTTATGAATGATACGTGGGCAGTTCTGAATATAAACCTGAGAAAGACCACTTGCGTCTTTATAAATTATTGACATCTCAATCTCTCTTTTCAGGGAAAACCGCTGCTGGCTGCATTCCCCCATGATGGATGATCTGGAGGAGGATCTGACGTGTTCGGTGTGCTACGCTCTCTTCTCTGACCCCAGAGTGTTGCCCTGCTCGCACACCTTCTGCAGGAGCTGTCTGGAGAATGTGCTGCAGGTCTCCGTCAGTTTCTCCATCTGGCGTCCCCTGCGTCTGCCGCTCAAGTGCCCCAGCTGCCGCAGCGTGGTGGAGCTGCCCACTAACGGCGTGGACGCGCTGCCGGTCAACGTCTGCCTGCGGGCCATCGTGGAGAAGTACCAGCACGAGCGACCCCCCGCCTGCCCCGAGCACCCGCGCCAGCCTCTCAACGTCTACTGCGTCCAGGACCGCAAGCTCATCTGCGGCTTCTGTCTGACGGTCGGCCAGCACCAAGGCCACGCCATCGACGACCTCCAGACGGCCTGCGTGAAAGAGCGCAGCGCCCAGAGCCGGCTGACGGAGAGTCTGCGCTGGGAGGAGGTCTGCGGTCTGACTGAACGCCTGGCGCAGGAGAAGGAATGCAGCCAAGCTTTGGTTCAGAATGACCGTGAGATCGTGTCACGGTTTTTCCAGGGCCTTGACCTCATCCTGGCTCAGAAGGAGGAGCGGTTCATGCAGGCTCTGGACCGGGCGAGCGTGCTGCTAGCCAGCGCTTACGATCCGCTCATCCAGCAGGTGAAGGACATGCAGGAGGAGCACAGCGAGCTGATGTCCCTCAGCTCCAGCGTGGAGAGCGAGGAGTGTCCGCTGGCTTATCTGGAGCAGCTGCATCAGCTGAGGGAGCGAGTGAACACTCTGATCCAGACGCCGCTGCCGGAGATCCCCAGCCTTCACGTGGCTCCGCGGGCAGAGCGCTTCTTCGAGGAGCACTGGTCTGACGTGACCATCAGAGGTCTGAGAGACGCTCCTGTTCCTGAAATCTCATGCTCGAGGACCGGCGCTCAGGCCGCTGATGGAGCTCGGCTCCGGCGTCGTCCTTCATCTCCGGCGGTCGTGGTGCTGCTGCTGCTCGTGCTGCCGCTCACAGCCCTGTGTCTACAGTCAGCGTGTGGAAGCACTCCGGGGCTTTCTGGTCTCTTTCATATAGTTTCAAGTGAACTCGCCCAGCCGCTCCAAGAGATGGGGACGTTCTTCTGCTGTCTGCTACAGAACATGAACACCAAACTAAACACCTTTATTTCTAGCTTAGGAGAAAACGCCTATTAGCATCTGCTCAGCTTTCTCAAAACACCACACTAGTGTTCAATGCTGGATGATGCAGATATTCAGCCTTCGTGAAACACGAGCTCAATGCTTTTCTGGGTCAAGCTGGTTTGTTTTTACAAACCATTTACACATATGTGACCCTGGAGCACAAAACCAGCCTTGTGTCAATTTTGTGAAATTGAGATTTATACATGATCTGAAAGCTGAATAAATAAGCTTTCCATTGATGTATGGTTTGTTAGGATAGCACAATATTTGGCTGAGATACAACTATTTTAAAATCTGGAATCTGAGGGTGCAAAAAAATCTAAATATTGAGAAAATCATCTTTAAAGTTGTTCAAATGAAGTTCTTAGCAATGCATATTACTAATCAAAAATTAAGTTTTGATATATTTACGGTAGGAAATTTACAAAATATCTTCATGGAACATGATCTTTACTTAATATCCTAATGATTTTTGGCATAAAAGAGAAATGTATAATTTTGACCCATACAATGTATTGTTGGCTATTGCTACAAATATACCCCAGCGACTTAACACTGCTTTTGTGCTCCAGGCTCACAGATATATATATACATGTGTGTTCTGCTCATTCAAGAATGAGGGCAATTATGTGCAAACACTGTAGTTCATTACAGATAGAATCCACACTGAATGCTCATCATTATTTAAAGGGGTCGTGACATGCCTTTATTTTAATGTTCCTTAAGGTTCACTTACCTATGTTAAAGCTTTGCCCACAAAAACATCAATAACATAACATCTAACATCACTGGATAGGGGAAAATTATTGCATGCGAGTGCTTTGTAAACATCCTTAAATATACAAAGCATCCTGAAGCTTTGCGATGCAGTCACGGTCAGATCCAAAACATCTGCTTCATCTTTCAACAGCAGTTTCTTTGTGAATGGATTACAAAACACTGGTGTAATCCTCGACAGGACCCATGTCTCGACCCCTTTAACATCAGCTGTTCAGAAAACCAGTGTACTTCAGTTCAGAAGAACGCGTTTACTTTAAATCGTGGTTTATAAAACAGTCTGTTACTAAAAATAATGAGCAGCTGTGTAACTGCAGTACAAGTAAACTACATTACCCATGATGCCGTCTTCCCACAGTTCCATAGACGGCACTGAGCCCGTTTTTAGACTTACTCTTGAGTAGGTACTTTTTTGAATAAGTAATTACTTCACGGCCGCAAAAAGAGTATGTTCTATATAGTATGGATGTAATCTGGAAGTACTACATTCACATCCCTACTCTTTTATGAGTACTGTGGATTCGGACATACTTCTTTTGTCATATACTGTTTTTCGTCTACTATATAGTAGAGAAGTATGTTTCGGATGCAGCCATCATGCTTGTAGATATAGGGACCACACTGACTAGATGAGCACAATTTGAGACGTCAAGACATTACGGACCTACTTTTCATCTTAACTTTAAGAACTTTATATGTACATTTCTAATTTTGTTCTACTCTTTTGTACTACTACAAATGATTACTAAAAACACTTACTGTTTGCACTGTACTTATTGTATTAAAGAGCATCTATTAGCGGTTTCAGTCATTCCTTCCTGATTTCACTGAAGTTTCAGAGAAGAATAAAGCTCTCAGAAACAGCACTCTTCCGGACTGATGCTTTCTTCTGGCTGTTTAGAAATCCATCACGTGACATTCAACTCAAACGCGAGGCGAAACATTATCAAGTGCTGATTGTGTTTTAGTTTAGACATAAGAATCACAAAATGCACAATGCCACATTTAATGTTTATTTAAAATATTAAGCTGCATGATAATATTCCATGTTATAATTACTATGTAGTATAAAACTCAATTTGATTTAAAAACAATGAAGGAATGAATGGAGCAGCACAGAATGGAGACGTATAAAAGGTTTGGAGACAGAAAGCGAGAGAAGTGATGAACAGCCAAACCATCAGAAGGAGCGAGTGATTCACAGAGTATCACGCCGTCTCGATCTCGCGCAGGACGATGGTTTTGGGGTTGATGGCCACGTTCTTGGTGGTGTTGTGTGTCTTATAGATGCCGATGAGACGGTCGGCCATCTCAAACATGTTGTTCCTCAGGGAGATGATGATGAACTGAGCGTTCTTGGTTTGCTCCTGCAATAATAATAATAAAGTTCAACAGAAACATGTTAGAATTAGCATTGCACCGATTGCCTGTATAGCTGAACTTCTTCAAATCAGCAATGGCTTTAACAATCAGTCATCCTGTTACAAGACACACTTATTCATTCATTTTTATATAATTGTGTTGTTCATTTCTTTCAGGATTACACTGAATTCAGTTTTGTCTAGGTTTATGTAGGGATGGACATTTAAGAAAAACCAGTGGTGGACAGTAACGGAGTAGCTTTACTTCGTTACTGTACTTAAGTACATTTTTCAAGTATCTGTACTTTACTGGAGTAGTTTTATTTTGAGTAACTTTTACTTCACTACATTCCAAAGCATAAGATCGTACTTTTTACATCACTACATTTCATAAAACATATCGTTACTCCTTAAAATATACAGTATCACGTGCTCCGAGACGCAGTGTCTGATTCATGAACAAACTGATTCTTTTCAATTAACCTGTTAAATCGGTTCACAAATCGCACCAAACGATTCATTCACGAATTGGAATTAAACGATTGCAGCTGTTCTCGAGTCGACAACTCACTGATTTATGGCGTTATTTTAATGACAAATGTCGAGAGCGCATTATTGTAGCGCGAAAGCACATTAATACAATGCGCGAGCGCGAATCTCCTTTGCTCTCGCACAAAACCGGACGCTCGCGCTCAGATACACGCTGCTCTCGCCCGGAGAGAGTGTGCGCACTTAAAACATGTCTCCTCTCTTACTCAAGTACTTGATTTGTGTACTTCGTCCACCACTGAGAAAAACTGGAGTTCATTAAAATCAAGCTCATTAAAAGGTGTAATTGTATATGTAAATAGATGTACAATGAAGATGTGAAATGTAAAAATGTTAAATGACCACTGCAATGTTTCAGAACATAAGACATATGTGACCCTGAAACGCTTTAAAGCTTAAGTCTATGGAAAACCATTGAAACTTTGAACGGCCATATCTACATAACGGCGC